TCATTGAGAAAAGAAAGTGGAATTAAGTGATCATTGTAAAAGACTTGGAAGGATAGAGTTGGAGGCGAATCACCATGCTCATCCTCATGAACCTCAAGAGAAGCGAGGAACTCGAATGTAATGCGGGCAAATGTTGGTGCATTAAGATCAATGAAAGCCTCAAGCCCTAAGTTCCGAGCCAACATCCTAACGTCCTCATCAATTCCAAGCAATGTTGTTGACTCCCTATCATAGAATCTTGTGGAAAAAAGCTGTCGAGGTAACAAGTTTTAGAAGTTGTCCCAATGCTCTCGCTTGGTGAACTCGATGCCATATGTCTCCGTGATGTAGGATGGAGGAGAAACCACCCTCCTATGAGTAGAGCATCTCGCCCTTTTAGCACGACGAAGGGACGCCATCTACACACCACAAGAAAAATAAAGGTTCAATAACAAGGGAAAATTGTGTCCAAAGATAATGCATGATAATGGAAAATCCCATAAGGACCACAATAACAAGGGAATAAGAAAGAATTCACAATCAAGTGAAAAATGCACTTAGAAAACCACAATTATAAACCATAATCATGCATAGTGAGCAACAACATTTCATATGACCATCCAAATCCTTATGGACATCATCATCAACAAACCAACAACACTAAATAATGAATCCAACAATGGTAGTGCTAAAATTTTCAATAAACTCAAACAAAATCAACAACACCAAATCATATATTTATCAAAAATTCATCATCAATACAATCAAATCAAGAAAGTAGTAAGCAATATGGGTATGCTAATAAGGGTAGTACCAAACCAAATCAAATTTCCATGAACAATAAAGGTTGAAAATTTATCATGAGAATAAAGAAATCATACCTTTAATTAGTGATAAATCACAAAGAAATGGAACAAGGAGCGCTATTACACACTAGAAACCCCAAATTGCAAACCTCAAAACTTCAATCAAATAGTACCAAAAATCTCAATTTAGGAGAGAGAAAATCACCATGGAAGTGCAAAAATTGAGACTAAGAGCAATAATAAACTAGATGATTATGAATTTTTATGAAATTTCAATGAATATATGATGATGGAGGTGAAAATAATGCTTGAGCAAAGACCAAATAAAACATGAGTGAGAAAGTAAGGTAAGAGAGAGAGAGAAAGAAAGAGAATGGGTGGGGTTTAAGGGGGGAAGACGAGCAGGGGTGCGGCCACACCTAGCTCGTGCGCGCCCGCACCTCCCTGGGTATTAAACTTTACCATTCTCTTTTCCTTTTTGAATGCGCACAACGGTGGGCACACAATTTATGATGATGATAAACACCAACATAGGCAGTAACAAAACCCCATTTTAGTGGGTTCAAAACTAGAAATTCATGAACCCACAATAAGAACCCACCAATCTCCATACTTACACATTTTCCAACTCATGAATTTGGAAATTTCTACCTCAAAATTGGCACCAAGATTGTTGGATATCAAATCAAAACCACCTGCAACACAGAAGAAAACAAGATTAAAAGAGAATAAAGGCATCAAAGGAAAATCAAATAAAAATGAGAAAAGGGTTAAAAACTCGGGTTGCCTCCCGGTAAGCGCTTGTTTAACGTCATTAGCTTGACGTTCTCCATGCTTCAAGGTGGATCATAGAGAGTCATATTATGAATGACCCCGACAAAAACTCCCTCATAGTAACCCTTAAGCCTATGACCGTTGACCTTGAAAGTCCTTGAGAGGTCCAAAGGAGAAATTTCAATAGCACCATTTGGGAAGACCTCTTGAACAACAACTGGATCGGTCCAACTAGACATCAACTTTCCGGGAAAAAGTCTCATTCTTGAATTGTAAAGGAGCACCTTATCTCCGGGATTGAACACCTTATTCTTAATGAGCTTATCATGCACCTCTTTGGCTCTAGCTTTGTATAAACTAGCACAATCGTAAGCATCCAAACAAAGCTCTTCCAACTCATGGAAATCTAACCAACGTTGCTCACGTACACTTGCCAAATCAAAATTGATCTTCTTTATAGCCCAATGAGTACGATGCTCAAGCTAAACCGGGAGATGGCAAGATTTACCGTAAACCAAGCGGTAAGGAGTGGTACCAATAGGAGTTTTAAAGGTCGTTCTATACGCCCACAAGGCATCATCAAGCTTATTCGACCAATCCTTCCTATTTCTTGCAACCATCTTCTCAAGTATCAACTTGATTCAACGATTGGACACCTCAACTTGCCCGCTAGTTTGAGGATGGTAAGGGAGCCCAAAACGTTTGTTTACCCCATGTTTCTTCAACATCTTTTTGAAAGCACTATGCAAAAAATAATACCCGTTGTCGATTATAACCGCCTTGGGAATGCCAAACCTTGGGAAGATTATCTTTCTAAAAAATTTCATTACCACCTTATGGTCATTTGTTGGAGAAGCAATGGCTTCAACCCAATTTGACACATAATCGATGGCAACAAGAATGAATTGATTCCCATATGAAGAAGGAAAAGGACCCATGAAATCTATTCCCCAAACATCGAAAATTTCCAACTCAAGGATGGGTTGTTGGGGCATCTCATTTCTCCTTGAAATGTTCCAGGTCCTTTGAATTCAGTCACAACTTTTAACAAATTTTCAAGTGTTCTTAAAGAGGTTTGGCCACCATAATCTGCATTGAAGCACCTTAGAAGCCGTTCTTGAAACACCCATATGTTCACCACTAGGATCCGAGTGGCACATCTTCAACACATTTGGTATTTCCTCATTTGGCACACATCAACGTAACAAACCATCAACACCTCTTTTATACAAAATCGGCTCATCCCAAACATAGTGCCTAGCTTCTCTCTTAAGCTTCTTTCTACGATTCTTGGAAAAAGAAGGACAAAACTCCCCACAAGAAAGGTAATTAACCAAATCAAAAAACTATGGGAGTTCTTTCACATTTATCGAATACAAGAAGTCGTCTAACATTCTATCTTCAATAGGGGACCCATCATCTTGGACTTGAAAATCATCAAGTCTAGATAAATGGTCCGCAACCACGTTATCCGCTCCTTTCTTGTCTCGAATATCAAGATCAAAATATTGAAGTTCAAGAACCCAATGAATTAACCTTGGATTAGATTCCTTTTTCTCAAAGAGGTATTTCAAAGCCGCATGATCGGTGAACACAATAGTCTTGGACCCCAACAAGTAACAAAGAAATTTTTCGAAGGAATGAACAATTGCTAAGAACTCATTTTCCGTTGTTGTGTAATTCCTTTGAGCACCATTAAGGGTCTTCGACATGTAATAGATGACATGGAGCTTCTTATCAACCCTTTAACCCAACACTCCCCCAATAGTCGTATCACTAGCATCACAAATAAGCTCGAAAGGCAAATCCCACCTAGGGGCTTGGACAATGGGAGTGGAAGTCAAAGCATTCTTCAATTTGTTGAACGCCTCCAAACAATTATCATCAAATACAAAATCAACATCTTTTTGGAGAAGGTCATTGAGGGGATTGGCAATGAGTGAGAAATCCTTGATGAATCTCCTATAGAACCTCACATGCCCAAAAAATGATCTCACTCCCTTTACATTCACTGGGGGAGGAAGCTTTTCAATAACCTCGATCTTGGTCTTATCCACTTCTATTACTTTATGAGAGATTTGGTGTCCAAGCACTATTCCTTCCTCCACCATGAAGTGGCATTTCTCCCAATTCAACACTAAGTTCACTTTCTTACACCTTGCTAATCATTTTCCAAGATTCTCAAGGCAATCCTCAAACGAAACCCCCTCTACGGAGAAATCATCCATAAAAACCTCCATTTCTTCCTCCAATATATCTCCAAAAATGTGCATCATACATCTTTGGAAAGTTGCGGGACCATTGCAAACACCAAACGGCATTCTCCTATAGGCAAAGGTTCCATAAGGGCATGTGAACGTTGTCTTCTCTTGATCATCGGGGTGAATCGGGATTTGAAAAAGTCCTGAGTAACCATCAAGGAAGCAATAAAACTTGGGCCTTGTTAGTCTCTCAAGCATTTGATCAATGAATGTAAGGGGAAAGTTATCCTTCTTGGTGGATGTGTTTAGAAGTCTATATTCTATACACATATGACAATCGGTGACCGTTCTAGTAAGAATTAGCTCACCTTTCTCATTCTTGACTACGGTCATACCCCCCTTCTTTAGAACAACATGAATGGGAGAGACCCACCTAGATCTTGAGATGGGGAATATGATTCACGCATCCAAAAGCTTGGTGATCTCTTTCTTCACTACCTCCCCTATTTGGGGATGTAGCTTACGTCGTCGTTCAATAGATGGAAGGGTGCCTTCCTCAAGTTTTATATGATGCGTACACAAAGCGGGGCTTATACCTTTGAGATCATCAATGGTATAGCCCAAAGCACCTTGGTGTTTTCTCAAAACATCACATAGCGTTTGAACTTGGCTCTCACTCAAGGATGCACTAACAATTACGAGATAAGTAGAAGATAGGCCTAGGAATTCATACCTAAGGCGTGATGGTAGAGGTTTTAGCTCTACCATAGGCACACCTTTACCTTCTTTGGTCGAGGCTACTTGTAAAGCATCTTGGTTTGAGATCCCCATGCAAATTTTTTCATCGCTTCCTTCAATGCTTCCATCAACCAAATCTTCATACAATTTTACTTCCTTGCTAGGAGAACCTATCTTTTCGTTGTTCAACAAAATAACTCAAAAGGATCATAAGATGTGCGCAAGTGCTCATGCATGGATTGCACAATATTATCAAGAACTTCAACACTAATGCAATTTTCAAAGGAAGAAGAAGGATATTTCATACCTTCATTAAAATCAAAATCAACTACCTCCTCTCCTATCTTGAGAGTTATCTTAGCACTCTTGACGTCAATCATAGCCCCCGATGTAGCAAGGAATGGTCTACCTAAGATGATAGGGATAGTAGCATCTTCATCCATATCCAATAAACCAAAATCTACTAGAATGACAAATTTCCCCACCCTCAAGGGAACATCTTTTATCTTACCTTTTGGATCTTGATCGACCTATCGGCTAATTGCAATGTAATCTTGGAAGGTAAAAGTTCCCCTAGCTCTAGTCTTTGATAGACCGAATATGGCATAAGGCTAACACTAGCTCCTAAATCACATAAGGCATTACCAAATTGCATCTTATTAATAGCACAAGGGATAGAGAAATTTCCGGGATCCTTCAACTTAGGTGGCATCTTATTCATTAGGATCTCACTACAATTCTCAGTTAAGATAACCGTCTTCGCCATATCACATGTCCTCATTCCACTCAAAATTTCCTTTCCACTCAAAATTTCCTTAAGGAACTTAGCATAGTTTGGCATTTGTTCTACCACATCTATGAAAGGAAGAGTAAGATGAAGTTGCTTAAGCATCTCTATGAATTTTCCAAATTTCTCATCCAATTTGGGCCTAATATACTTTTGGGGATAAGGGAGATTGGGCTTGTAAAGTTCTTTCTCTTTCTCTTTCACTCTTTCTACTTGTTCCTCCTCAATTTTCTCAATTATGGGACCCTCATCTCCCTCAATCTCAATAGGGCTATTGCTAGTACTCTCTCTAGCATCACTCTTCTTAGGTACTCCACTCTCAAGGACCCTACCACTCCTAGTAACAATTGCATCCATAGGATTCTTAGAATTTAAGTTCAATGAAGTCAAAGAAGAAGAAGAATTCTTAAATTCTTTAAAGTCACTAGCCAATTTAGAAAGTCGGTTTCCTAGCTCCTTATTTTGAATCAACATGTCATTAAACTTCTCATCATTCACGTCCATGTAAGATTCTAGCAAATTGGCTTGTTTCTTAAAAACCTCTTCCAAAAAACTCCTAGAAGAAAATGGTTGATCATGGAAATTATCACTTGGGCGTTGAGTATTTGGAATGGATCCAAGTGGGGTACCTCTTTGTATATTAGGTTGTGTAGACACCCATTTGTGTCTCCCCAAAACCAAACCCAATGATGAATACCTTTCACGTCGAATCATAATCGAATGAAGTGAAAGTGTGGAAAGTTTAGTGTTGCGGATAGTTTTAATTTCTTTTCTCTTCTCTCTATTTTTGAAAAATTATTTTAAGAAAACAGCCAATCTAGTTTGGTTGGTCCATGATATGGGTCCAATAATGGTGTAGTTGGATGGGGCGTGACAAGAGCTTTCCAACGATATATAATAAGCCCAATTCCGATGAATATTGAGGAAGTTATGGCCAATTTACTGAACTGGGCCCGGTTTGAGCCTTATATGTGGCCCAATGATTTAGGGGAGGGCTTAATATAGATTTATCGTTCCTAATGCAATTAGTAATGGTTTTAGTCTTCTATATTCTCCTAGAAGGTTCTTTTCATTCCAAATTCAATTAGCATTGATAAATTGACTTTTGTTGACTTTTCAGAGTTTTAATTAAAATTAAAGAGCATTTTTGAGGGAAATACGATTTTATCCTCCTGTATGGCAATTTTTATCTGATTTTAAGAAAACGCGTGATTTTTCTGAATCAGCGCCAAACGCCAACTGTAGCGCCTGGCGCTACGCTTAGCGCCTAGCGCCAGCATCGGCGCCTGGCGCCAATGGCCAACGTTGGCGCTAATTCAGTTTTATGTGCGCCAGAACACTGTTTTGATATTTTATCTTATTGGCTGATTTTCTTTATAAATAACGTCGTAAAAACTCCGTTTTGATACACCAACTCTCATCAAGATTCTCTTGATTACTCTCTCTTTCTTTTTCTAAACTAACTTCTCTCAAATATAAAAATTCCGCATTCATTAGATCTAGATACACCTAGCCATATTAGAAGTTGCCTTCGCCCTAGACGTGAAAGGTTTAATTTATGAGGGTTTGGTCCTAATCCTCTCTTTCCATTATTTAATTTAATTGTTGATTATTATTTTCCTTTAAGTTACTAACGTGTGTATTTTGTTATTAGAAAGAGGTACGAGGCATCCAAGTAACCCTAGAAGTATTGATGTTATTATGTAGAAATCATGCTTAGATTGTTATTATGATTCCTAGTATCATGTCTAGGGTAACTTTAATATCAAGTATGATTAAAAGTATAAAGCTTCCTATGTTCTTCCTAATATTTATGATTGTTAGTATCATGTTAGGGTTAAAGATTTGATTTTTATTGCTTAGTGACATGCTAGGGCTTGTTATTAATCTTGTTAGTATCATGCCTAGGATCTTGCTATTATTATGCTTTAACATTATTATGATTATTCTTTATGATTCATGATTTTAATTGTTATAATTATTGTTATGATGATTATTCTTAATTATGATTGTTATGATTATATTTTTATTATTTTGATTATTATTATGTTGCTTGATGATTTTATTTTATTGCTTGATCACGCCTTTTATGCATGTTTAAAGGGAATTGATACTTGTAATCACGCTTAATAAGATAATTAATAATCTTGTTTAGGGTTAATTTGATTATAATTCAAGTGATCACCAATAATAGATTTATTTGTGCATTATATTAAACCAACATAGATAAACAGGTTTAGGGCTAATCCTATTGATTGTATGTTAGTCAAAAAGCGCACATGAATACGATCAGAATAAAGTAGAGGCCTATTATTAGGGCAGGTTCAATCTCTTTTAGGTTAGATTTGTACCTTCATCCCCGAACCCTGTTTGGTTCAAGACCTTATGGAGTTGACGATCTCTTGGATTGTTAAGGGGTGTAACCTTCACCCTGTGAACGGTTTACAAGTTCCTAAAAAAACTTGTTGGCGACTCTTTTGCCCTATCTTCTTCCCCTTTGGACGCCACCGTACTTTAGTGTATGGTCACAATGGGGTTCAAGATAGGGGATTAACGCTTGAAATTATTCCCTACAGTTTTTGGCGACTCCATTGGAAAGTATTTCTATTTTAATTCCTGAATTTGTTTCGGCAATGATTTAAAATGAGTGGATGAGACTCGAAACGTTCTAAGTATTTCATATACGTAATTGTGATTAACATTATTGTCATATGCATAAAAAAGATCTCATTGGAAAGAACATCTGTAAAGAGTTAAAAACATAAGATTTTACACGTAGGAAATTTGAGAAATATCTTTCACAACTAGGACCGAAATAACACTGCGCGAAACTGGAAAATTTTATTGAGCACAGAAAGTTGCTGAGGCATGTAGGAATTAGCGTCAGCGACCAGAGGATTGGCGCCATATTTTTAACTGTAGCGGCAGACGCCAGCATTGGCGCCAGGCACTACAGCTAAAATTTGGCGCCAAGCTTTGTTTGCTGGCGCCAAATTCTTCCAATACCTAGCAAGAAATATGCGTTCTAATTTTGACCAGTTTTTCGTATTGTTTGCTCGATCCTACTTCCTGATTTAATTTTTTCTCACTTTTCTGAAACCCATATGTGTTCTACATATGGACATAACCCTCTGGGAATTCATACACCATCTACATGATTGAACGCTCTGAGCAACAAAGGGTAAATCCGAGATTGTTGAATTCACCAAACCATGGAAGTGAGTATTTCTAAAACTCGTGGTGTCCCATCCACTCGCGCCAACCCTTCACGGTTAGGCTTCCGCGCGGTGCATCTGGACAATTAACCATGGACCCTCTTTTACTAACCCATATCCCGAACTTTAGAAAACTAGAGCCATGGTTAGGTTGCAAACTCATTGCATCATATTGTGCCTACTTGATTAATTGTGCATTATTTGTTATGCATATATATGTTTTCTTAACCGTTATTTTGACTTGTGTTGAGATTAAATAAACTAATGACTTAAAAAACCTTGCCTAATTAAATAATTAATTAATTAATTAATTAATTTGAGTCAATAAGGTCTAATATATTTAATCAGAATTGACTTAGTACGACTTTAGGCATACCCCTGTTGATTAATAACACCGAAAACAGTCCCAGATTGAAGCTCCAGCAATGGCGCCAAAGTCTGGACTGTAGCGCCACTCTGTGGAGTGTGGCACCTGGCGACACCTTTGTCGTCTGGCGCTACACTACACATTGCGATGCCAGTCCTGTCGTTTTGCCGACAGTTTAGATTATTGTTGAGTCATCACCTAGTGTCTAATTAACCAGTTTGCTAATTAATTCGGTTAATTTTCGCTATCAAGAGTACTTCGTTGAGTCATTACTCGAGTTTAGGCACTAAGTCCCATGGTCTTAAACAAGAGTCCAAACATGTCACTTACACTCAACGCACACACCAATACATACACTTTGACCATGTCTAAGGGAGTCTTGCATGCGCGTTTTTTTCCATCATTTTTTTAGGGGGGTAAGTCGGATATTAATCCTCCAATTTAAAAAACTATACTTAGTTCCCTAAATATATGTACATTATTTTTTGCAAAAATATGCACCCATTTTTTATTTTCTCCACTTAAGATTGATGATCCTGTGAAACAACAACAGATGGACCTCATGCAAGAGAGTCTAAGCAAGCTATCTAGCGACTACAAGTTTCAAGGGCTTACTTCACAAGGGGTTTCGGTGGACAAAGATCTTTTTCCGTAGAAGTTCAATGCCAACGGCATCCCGAAATTCAGAGCAACTGATAATCCTTATTTTCATTTAAGAGCATTCGAAACAATAATAAGTATTTAGGGTATCGATAAGAAAGTTTTCCCCTCTCTGTTCACACTATCTCTCGAGATCGTTTGCCAACAATGGTTCTTTTCTTTCGAGAAAGAAAAGACCTCTAACTGGGAGTCCATAGCAAACGTTTTCGTTGATAGATACAAGTGCAACATTCAAGTGGAGACTAACCATAGGGAACTTGAAATCCTCAAGCAGAAAGAGAACGAAGGCTTCACCTCTTTCTTTAACAAATGTAGAGAAACCTCAGCTAAGATGATTGAGGTGCCAAGTGAAAATGAGTCTGTAAGGTTGTTCATCAAGAACCTTCAAGAAAAATATTCCAAGCATCCCAAGTATCAAAATAATCTCCATACCTTCAAGGCCGTCTACGACATTGGGATCAATATTGAAGACGACCTGGCTAAGTTAAAAGCTGCCAACAATAACTCCAACAGTGGCTGGAAAGGAAAGAAGAACGACAATCCTTCTTCTTCCAAAACCACCCACTCAAACAACGTTAGCACTTTTAATTTAGGATAAGTCCTTGCTATGAACAATCAAGGACAAAAGAATTCATTTAGGAGAAACTTTACTCCTATTGGCATGAGTTATGCCACAACATTTGATCGATTAAATGCAAAAGGTCTTATAACTCCCATTGAACCATTTGGGGACCCACCAGTAAAAAAGAGGTCGGCTAATTGGAACCCCAATGCACAATGTAAGTATCACCAAGGTAAGGTGGTGTGCCTCAGTCGTATGCAACCAAAAATATCACAACTAAGCTAACTGCAAATAAACGTAGTTAGGGAAGTCGAGTTCGAATCCACAGGGAAAAAGGGACTAATAACTGGAAACCTAAGTGGAAATACTCTAGGACGGTAGTAACCTAAGTAACGAGGGGGGTTTTCACAAGCAATGATGATAAATGAACTAAGTAAGAACAACGAACGTAACGAATAGGTAATCAATGAGAAGAACGGTCTTGGTTATGCGAAATCCACTAATGAACATACAAATTGATCATAGAAGTCTCCTTTATCAAGCTCTATTGAACACCTTGTTGTAGAATTCCTAGATTCTAAATTCTCATAAATAGTTAGAAATAGCAAAGCGCTCCTTCCTAACCCTTTCCAATGCACAATTCAAGACAAGCGCTCTAAATTATCCACAAGAAGAAAATAAACGGAGAAATGAACAAGGA